AGTCCAGCATTTCTGTCCCTAACTGGAAAGGGACCTTTCTAGGCCCTTTGTGGTCCTTTCTGTCCTTTATGGCAGGCACACCCCTTCACCCCTCACTACATCATTCTAGTTCCTGAGACACATTACTTGGGTGGAGGGGCCTCTGTATATTCTATGTTCACTAGGACTGTGCTACACTTGCAGTTTTATTCTAGACAAGATTACATGGAAGGTCTTTTTCCTTTATGTAAAATGAGAGGATAGAATTCCATCAAAACTATCAAGGAGGGCCAGCCAGGTGGTGTGGCAGTTAAGGCAGCTGTACCCAACATGGCTGACTGCAGTCTGAGCCCTGGACTTAGTGGCTCAGAAAAAAAACGGGCATGTGTGTGTTTGTGTGTGTGTGTGTGTATGCTCAAAATCTCAAGGAGAGAAAGAAGAGATGGCAACAGTAGCCATCCCCTGGGTAACTTCTCACTTTCCCTCTCTCCTCTCTTTCCAGTGAGTACACATGCCCTATGGCAAAAAAACAAACAAAAAAACTGAATTTATGCTACTCTCAAGATCTTTGTGTACAATATATAAATAGAGTATAAGAGCAGATTTTCCTTGCCTTCAAGTACCTTCTTTTGAAATTCCTTATTACATTTCTAAAAAATCAAAACTGAAACATAAAACAGTATGGAAATGTGATCCCCTTAACTGGGCATTTCTGATTTTAGTAACCTTTGCTACAGAAATATTAAGATACAAAAGATATGTTTAAGATTGTACTTTGCGGGACCAGCAGTTGGCATAAATGGTTATGTTGCTGGACTCCCACGTAGTCAAACACAGTTCAAGTACCAAGACCCGGTGGCTTAAACTCACGCCAGGCACATGTGTGTACATGCCCATGATCCTGCGAGGAGAATGGAGGAGAAGGGATTGCGGTGTGGCCCTCACCCTTTGGATTTCTGTCTCTGTCTTTCTGGCGAGTGTACATGTCCTATAGCAAAAGTCTTTCCAAAAAAAAAAAAAAGTTAAAAAAAAAAAGTACTTTGTAGCAGTATCTTTTTAAAAATGTTATTCATTTATTTTATTTTACTTTATTTTGAATTTGACCAGAGAGAGAAGGAAAGTGAGAAAGCAAGCTGCAAGGTCCAGGATTCAAACCATGGTCAGCCATGTGGGATTCCAGCTATCTTAATCACCATGCCACCTGCTGGTGCCATTATAGCAGTATCTTAATACCAAAAACCTAGAAACTAATGTTGACAGGTTAAATAAATCATAGGGCATCCATACAATGGAGTACCAGCAAGAGTACAGTCTCAAATCACAAGTATCTTAGGTATGAGGACATAAGAAGATGTTCATAATTTAAAAAAAATGTTTAAAAAGTTGAATAGTGCGGGGCTAGCAAGTGGCATGGTGGTTGGGGGCGCTGGACTCCCACATGGCCAACCATGGTTCAAGTCTCAGACCTGGTGGCTTGCTTTCTTACTTCCTCTCGGTCTCTCTGCACAAACTGGAAAATAATAATGATAATAATAATAGTTAAATTTAAAAAAAAAAAAAAAAAGTTGAATAGTGTGGGCCGGCAGGGGGCGCAGGGGTTGAGGGTGCGGGCACCCAACATAAAAAATAAAGAAAAAAATAAAAGTTAAATTTAAAAAAAAAAAAAAAAAAGTTGAATAGTGTGGGCCGGCAGGTGGCGCAGTGGTTGAGGGTGCTGGACTCCAACATGGCTGACCACAGCTCAAGTCCTGAACCTGGTGGCTTGCTTTCTCTCTCTCTCTCTCTGTCCCTCTCTGGTCAAAAAGGAGGGAAGGAAGAAAGGGAGGGAGGGAAGAAAGGGAAGGAGAAAAGTTAAAAATTTCAAAACAAAACAAAAAAAGTTTGAACAGTGTTGGGGCCGGCCGGCAGGTGGCGTGGTAAAACTCCCTTTCTCTCTCTGGTCAAATTAAGCAAATACTGATGATGACGATAAATGATTTAAAAAAAAAAAAAAACGTTGAACAGTGTTATGCTGAAAAAAGTCAAATTTGTGTGCATATATATATACATTTATAATAAATGTGGTGTATTATACATGGGAAAAGCTCAAAAGAGCACCAGGCAAAAGTAGTTATCCCTGGGAATAAAACTGGGCAACAAAAAAGAAAATCACTTGACTTCATAAACTTGCATACACACATGCACTTAAACTATACTTATGTTAAGTACATATTGTAAGCACAAATATTGAGGTAAATCTTTTTCACTACACTGGCTTATGTAGAAATTTCAACTTCCATATCAGTTATTACTAGGCTCTACAAATGCTTTCCAAAACCTTTCTGGTACCCACACCTATAGCTATTTTCTCACCGAATTTGATGAAAAGCACTTTAGTTCAAGGAGCCAAATGTTCTTCTGAGTTTTCAATAGCACATCCTGGCCACCTACAACATACACACAGCTTTATTAGACTGATGCCTCCAACTTTTTTCCCCTAAGTTTTGCTATAGGATTTGTGTTTTCATTGGAGAGAGAGGGACAAGATAGTGTGAGAAATACTCCACCCCTCACCCCAGGATGGCTATGCTGCAATCTCCTCTTCCCCATTCTCCTCTGGGCTTTTCGGCACACATACCCAAATTTCTAAAAAATTTGACCAGAGAGAGGGAAAGTGAGACAGCAAGCCACAATGTCTAGGACTCAAACTACAGTCAGCATGTGGGAGTCCAGCCCCCCAACCCCCTGCTGGCCCCCCCCTTTTTTTTTTTTTTTTTTTTTTTGCTGCAGGGCACATGCACTCACCATGGAGAAAAAGAGAAAGTGAGAAATCACCACGCTGCAATCCCTTCTTCATTCTCCTCTTGGAATCTTGGGCACTTGCGCACACGTGCCCAGCCTGTTTGAGCTACCAGGTCCGGGACTTGATCTGAGGTCTACTACATGGAAAACTAGTAATAGAGCCATTACACCAACTGCTAGTCCCAACCCAGCTTATTTTTCAAGATACTACATCCAGAACTGTGTGTGTGCGGTCATGTTAGGTCCAGCCACTTTAACCACACCATCAGCTAGGCCCTCCCTTCAATTTTAAAGCCTTTTTGTTTTTAAATAACTGTTTAATTTTATTGATTCATTCATTCATTTTAATTTGATGAGAGGGACAGAGAGAGAAAAGCGAGAAAGCAAGCCACCAGGTCTGGGACTCAAACCATGGTCGGCCACATGAGAGTGTCCAGCACCTTAACCACCACACCACACTATCTGTTGTTCCCAATTAAAGCCTATTTTTAAAAAGTGCTAAACACTGATTTAGGAACCTCATAATACCTATCATTCAGAGTGAACTCATTCAATAAACTTTTTCACACACAGCCACTCACTTTAAGTATTTTGATATTTGACAGCCTTTAAAAAGTATTTCATTTACTATAGGGCACATACGCTCATCAGAGAGAAGGAAGAAAGTGATCAGGTCCAGGACTTGAACGTTCAGCCACGTGGGGGGTCCAGTGCCTTAACCACTATGCCACCCACTGGCCCCACAGCCACTCATTTCAATGAGCACTAAAAAATTATCACACTAAAAAAAATCACACTAGTACTAATTTCAAGTGACTATAGGAGCTGGCAAACTGTTTCTTTAATGTGCTCACCTGCATGGGTGAGAGAAATTGAGTTTACTTACTACACATTAAACTTGTCAAAATAAGTTGAAAACCCAACTAATAGATTTGCTTAAGATCAATGGATATCCCTAATAGCACCAAGTTTGATCCCTAACATTAGAAGCTATGACTGGTTTAAACCTGCTTGCTCTTGGCTATCAGCAGGGCCAACACATATAATTCCTTTCCCAGCAACAACCACACAGCTACCCAAAAACTAAGGGTAACTGGAGAGTGAAGGGAGTGTTACTTTGGGAAAATAATTAAAGTACATAGGTCCTGGCAGACTTTTAGGTTGCTAAACATCTGGTGCCAATTCCTTAAATTAAGCCACATTCTGCAACCTCCACCACTGGTCCCAGTTATAACTCTTTGACTATACATCTAAGAACTATTAGGGTAAGTTAGACCAGAGGCCAGTTGGTTCATAAGGTTATATACCAAACGAACTGAGAGGAATCAAGTCACCTCAACAAGTTACATTTCACTATGACTTTTTCAACCCTTTCATTGCCCATTCCTATTTGAACCTTCTCCATAATTGATAAGCA